TATTCTTTGTCTATGGAGAGATATTGTTGTAAATTATTGGTTTTATAGCTTTTTGTACATTCCTTTTTGAACTCTGGTTAGTTTTTTTTCTAGTTTGAATGACATTAGGTTGACGAATAAGCGTCTTTTCAGAAAAGATTGATTCAAATTCGACTATACCAATCAGAATCTAGAATGTAAACAAATGCTAAAAAATCATTATTTTCATGGTTTTTCAGCGCTATTTTCACTTATTTTTGTTATTTGACGTTATTTAGACAAATAAGCAAGTTTTCCGAAGCATAAAATTGAAGATTTCCCGCCAAAATAGAAACTTCCCGATAACATCGGAAATGACGTTCTAACATCATTTTAAAATATTCGATATCTAAAGCAGAAAGTGTTAGCTAAAATTAGACTTATTTATAGAACAATCCCCCATTTCTCACCTCAGGGAAAGTCATAAAACAGTTGGGTGCTAATGACTTTGTGAAAGGGAAAAAGTTCTACACTTAGAAACTTCGAAAGAAGGGATTTGGCCTGTACCGTCTGCGGGCCGCATAAACATTGATAGGGGGCCGTATGTGGCCCGCGGGCCGCAGGTTGTGCACCCCTGTATATATTAATTAATTCAAGTCTTTGGATGGGCTGAGTAAATTTTATAATAAAATAAGCTCGTGCCAATTCAGACTTTGAATAACTCAAGTTATTTCAGATCAGATAAATTTTTTCAAAAAAATTGTACAGTAATTTAAAATTTCTTGACAATAGAAAAAATTATAATTAACAAGTAAGTGAGACTGTTCTATCAACAGGCAATTTAAATTTCTTGACACATATTTCATCAAGAGACTGCTTGAGTTTATTGCCAAATGGCATCAATGTACTGCATCTGGTATGAACTTCAGTAAGATTGTGGCAACCATGTAGACATAGGAAGTGGTGGATGAGTTTCTGGACATCAAAAACACTCATTTTAATTAATGCGTGTTTTCGACATCCAGAAGTCTTTGTGATATAACATAACATAATTATAACATTTTATTATAATTATAATTAGGGAGACAGTTCCATGTCTGGACTCTAGTTTACAATTATTTATTGTGAACTAGTGGTGGATGAGCACTTTTTTTTTTTTTAACTTTTTTAGGCTACACTTATAAGATTCATTTAGAATTATTAAGAGATATATTCATATTAATTAATAAAATTTATTAAGTCTTCTAGGTTTGTAGTGATCTTCAAAATACCATTGTCAAATTATTGTTTGAATAGAAATACAGGATGTGTCTATGTCTGATGACAAACTTGTAACATATTTTGCAAGGAAATTCATTCATGAGTATTTACAATTACAGACGAAAAGAAATATTTGTAGTTAACATAAAGGATGTATTTGCCAAGCTGCCATCACCATTATCTATAGTTTCTTCATCTTCTATAGTGTCAACAACCTTTTTATTTAATGTCTGATGGATATGACAATGTTGGTTGGCATTACAACATCTTATTATTAACATGTGTAGCTTATGCTTTTAAGTGAAAAGTGGATATTATTATTCAATATTGTCAAACAAATGTCACTCCTTTGGTTCTCAAGTCGTTTTGTAAATTACTACAAAACGACTTGAAATACAAGAATGTTAGTTTTAAACTTTTTACAAAATGTGTGTGATATTTGATTTTTCTTTGGTCTGAAGTCTGTCTAAATATGGAAAACTACTGTCCAGTTCATGTATCATCCTATACTACAATTGGAAGTTTTTCTGGGAAATTCAGTTTTTTAATACTGACAAAATGGTAGCTTCAAAAGTTAGTCAGTGGTCAGTATTTTTACAATGTATAATCAAATTTGTTCTCTATAGCCTCAGTTCACAATAAATAATTGTAAACTAGAGTCCAGACATGGAACTGTCTCCCTAATTATAATTACAGTGGGTGATCGGTTAACGAACATAATCCGTTCCAAGACTTTGTTTGCTATCCGAATTGTTCGTTAACCGATTTTATCGATTTACCATAGGTTTCTATGGGAATTTGATTAATTGGTTCTGGAGACCCCCCAAAATAAAAAATATATACTTTCTTACTACCTTTATTTATATGTATTGATGATAATAAAAATACATACATACATAGTCTTGCGTTTTTATTAGTCGTGTTTTTTTTCTGTTTGAAAGGGTTAAAGAATCTGTCTAATGTCGATTGCTTTTCTCTCTTCTTCAGGATTTTTCGTAAGTAATTAATAGCATTGCAATTGCAGAAATCCCCAAGCCTTAACCTGGTTTGGATGCCATTCTAAGACCGTTGTTCTGACATCCTCCCACTTCTTCAAAGGANAAATCTTTAACATTATTTTATATTATTTATAAAACTTGAAATCATAATATTGTAATAATTTATACATATATTGTAAATATTACATAACCTTTACAAATATGTTAATAAGGAAAGTGGTAATGAAACAAGTAAAAACTTACTTTATCTGTTCATATACATTAAATTATTTAAATCCCATTATAGTATAAATTCAAACAATTCCAGAAATGAAAATTGCATGTACAATAAACTCCCACTAAACTAGACTAATAGGGCTGAAGATTGTGAGTTTACAAAAGTCTGCCTTAGCAGAGCATTTTCTCCAATGATATGAAAAACAAGGTGGATATACAGTACAGTAATTTATTACAATCAGTTCTATACAGAAATTTTACTAAGATTTAGTAGGTTATACTGCTGAATTTATTACAGGAAATGAACTCAAAAAATTTAATGACAGTATAGTTCAATTACTAAAGATTGTACAGCAATGTACTGTACAATCTTTAGTAATTTATTGACTACAGTAATATAATACACAGTACTACAAAGACTTCTAGACATCAAAAACACTCATTTTAATTAATGCGTGTTTTCGACATCCAGAAGTCTTTGTGATATAACATAACATAATTATAACATTTTATTATAATTATAATTAGGGAGACAGTTCCATGTCTGGACTCTAGTTTACAATTATTTATTGTGAACTAAGGCTATAGAGAACCTAAAGATTGTACAGCAATGTACTGTACAATCTTTAGTAATTTATATTACTGTAGTCAATAAATTACTAAAGATTGTACAGTACATTGCTGTACAATCTTTAGTAATTGAACTATACTGTCATTAAATTTTTTGAGTTCATTTCCTGTAATAAATTCAGCAGTATAACCTACTAAATCTTAGTAAAATTTCTGTATAGAACTGATTGTAATAAATTACTGTACTGTATATCCACCTTGTTTTTCATATCATTGGAGAAAATGCTCTGCTAAGGCAGACTTTTGTAAACTCACAATCTTCAGCCCTATTAGTCTAGTTTAGTGGGAGTTTATTGTACATGCAATTTTCATTTCTGGAATTGTTTGAATTTATACTATAATGGGATTTAAATAATTTAATGTATATGAACAGATAAAGTAAGTTTTTACTTGTTTCATTACCACTTTCCTTATTAACATATTTGTAAAGGTTATGTAATATTTACAATATATGTATAAATTATTACAATATTATGATTTCAAGTTTTATAAATAATATAAAATAATGTTAAAGATTTTCAATGCAAAATATTATTCAAAGTTAATTGTTTATTTAAAGGGTTAAATTAGTTGTCAATAGAGTAACTCAAGATGCTGTTGCTGTTAAAATATTAAATACAAATAGAGTTCCAGAAGCATCAGAATTAATTAAAAAAGAAGTAAGTGTATATTTAAATATAATTCTATAAAAATATATTTCTTAGAATTGAGGATTTCTTACAGGTAGTCCTCATATAACATAACATTCTCACAACATGGTTTCTCTCTAAGAGCCGCCGCAAACTACAGGATGCGGGAGCTAGCGTACGCTCGCTCGCGCTCCTAAGCCCCGCCTTTTTTCCCATGATGCTTTGAGCCATTTTTGCTAGGTAAGCTACGCGAGCACGAAGCAGCCGCAAACTACACAACGTTTGCTCGCGTAACGTAGTCCACATGACGTGGATTCCACAGATGTAGATTGGCTATAGAACAAGATTTTATTATAACCTATACTTGTAATCAGTCAGTTTTCGTTCCGAACTTTGAAACAGCATGGAAAAAACATGTTTACTAGTTAAGCCTAACTAGGCTTAACTAGCCGAAAACTATTTATACTGTATATTACTATTTACATACAACGGTTATACTATTTTCTTTTCAATACTGAATGTATTAATCATGTAATTTACGTACATCGATAAAATTCTATAATTTCTTTTTCGATATGTGACATGTTTATGTTGTCATCCATTTTTCCCGTCCTCTCTTGCTAGCGTAAATACTCTAGTTGTTGAAATATCTGAACAGCGAGCGTACTCTCGTATCGCTGCGCTAGCGAAGGAAAAACAGCGTGGGCAAGAAGACATGGGCGGAGCCTTCGACGTCATCGGTTGTCTAGCGCACGTTTGCTAGCGTGTTTGCTCTCGCAAAGCCCTAGTTTGCGGCGGCTCTAACACTGTTTGAGACTATCCATGGACAAAACGTTACAATTTTTAAGTGCAAACACTGTCATTTGATATTTTTTTTATTCAAGAAAGCATGCATGTTGTCTCATATTTGCCCATAGATTTTAGAATATTATCAATAATCTTGGAATATCCTTAGCTGGACATCAATAATCTTGGATTATCCTTAGCTGTTTAGATTTCCCTAATGAGAATTCTTTTTTTTACTGTCTGTGAACAAAAATTAAGAGACATATAATGTCTACAGGATGTTAATTATTTGCAAGAGAAAGATTATAATTTTAAAATTTTGAGTAACATTCTTTGGAGTCTCTCTGTTTACATATTATCTAATATAAACTGTAAAATAAAGCCATTAGGTATTCTGCTTCATTTAAGTAGATACACAATTATTCTAAATGGAAAAAGAATCATTATATGAAATAATGATGAATGCTGTTTTTGTAAAATGATGATGATGACCATGGTAAACTTAATGTTGTTCACCAATCTAAATATATAAAATTACTTGTCTGACTGACTGACTGACTGACTGAGTGATTGACTGATTCATCATCGCCCAGAGCAAACCGCTGAACCTAAAGAGGTGAAATTTTGTACACAGTTAGGGTACGTCATGAAAACGCATACTAAGAAGGGATTTTTCAAAATTCCCCGAGGGGAGAGGGAGAGGATTAAGGCTTAACCTGAAGAATGGCTTCTACTGTACTATTTTAGATGCACTTTTTTGTTTTTAACTATGTTTAGTTTTCATTGAGTACTTAGATTTATTAAATTGATAACATTTCAGACATTGTTATAAATATTTTTATATGTTTTGATTTTTTAACCAAATGTTTGAACCGTTTTAAATTCGAATTTGTTATTGCATATTGGTTTGATTATAGAATGATTGTAAATAGTGATGCAACAAATAGTATATAATCCCATAATCCCAGGACAAGCAAATGACCAGGAAATGAGAAACCTTAATTATAACATTGTTGAAGAAAGATACAAGTACATCTGTAATCATTTATAATCATTATTGTCAAATTTTCTTTTATAAACAGTAAAATTGATTTTATAAGATGGAAAATAAATGCTGGAGGTGTAAGCACAATTCACGAGCAGTATTATTAACTGAACTCTTTATTCAATCTGGTTAATATAATTTGCATTCATTATACTTTTACCTTTTTTCAAATAACATGAACTTATATCCATATTAACATGTAAGACATCATTTAATGTCAAATAGAAGTAAAGAAATATATCTTGCTGGCATTTGCCATTTTAAATTTATATGGCTCTCTAGTTCATTAGAATTGCCAATTGTTTGTTTTTAAACTGTAGTGGTAGGTGGTGTTCTTTACAATTCTTCCTTTACAAACATTTATTCTTTATTAGCCATCTTTACCCATTTCCATGAGGCTAAATCCTCATCGAAATGGGTAAAGACGACTAATTTAGCCTCTCTTCCCATATCACACATCACCACTATGACCACCATCACTCACTGCTTCCAAAATTGGGCAAATAGTGAACTTGTTTTTGTTAATTTTTTAAAAATATGATATGTATAACTCACATTATTTCAATCTTTCACATTAGAGGAGTTATCATATTATCTTTACTTGGGAGTTTGGTGATGTTTTTGTAACCACAAATATGCCATAGGAACTTAACTCTTATCTATATTTTTCAGTTTATGGTAAAATTTGTTGTTTCAATGTCAAGATTCTATCAACAGTGATAAGTGAGGACTTGTTGCATATGAAATTAATATATGTTGATTCATAATATTGACATATAATTTTTTAGAACATAGTGTCTTTTCATCAAAAGTTTGCTTCAAATTTTAATTTAGTTAGAAATTGATAATTATTTCTTGTAATTACAGTAGAGCGTCGATTTTCCGAATCAATTGGGGACTGGGGTTGTCCGGATAACTGATTTATGTATGAAAAAATAATTTAACGTATCTGATGTCGAAATTTTTCTCCGTTGCGTGTCGCTTTGCGTTGAATTTTTGTCGATGTTAAGCCTAACAAAGACTATTGTATTGTTAAGAATTATTTTTTTATTTTGTACAAACAAAATAAATATATTGAAAAATATAAAAATAATAAAAAATTATACTTCAGATGTTAATTTAGTATCAAAAACGTAAAATATTTGAGTAGCCCAAGACACAGCCAAAGATCGAAGCGCCACAGCAATGGCGAAAATTTAAATTTGCCGACTGGAATTCTTTCGGATGATTGACTTTCAGAAAATCGATGCTCTACTGTATTCTCAAATCCTAGGTTCAGAGCAAGGGATCAATAAAATACTTGAAGGTTTTTGCTAATTTTGAGATTGTGAGGATGATTTCTCCCTTTTTGTTGTGGTTGACACAATATAGTTTTTATAATAACTTTTAAACTAAGATAAAAATACTATAAATGGAATAGTGTTAAATACATTTTCTCATGGTGAATTTTAAAGGAACTGCCAGAGTCAATAATAACATAGCTACAATATTCTACAACTGTGAGAGACATGAAAAATGATTAGCAGTTTAAAAATCAAGTTAATACTAATTAAAACAAAATAATAATAAAAAATGAAGATCATGGATTATTATGTGAAGAATAAGAACATTGTATTAGATTATCATATTTTTATACTTTACTATGTATTTTAGCATTTAAAATTCAAGAAATTAATTTAATTTAGTTTTCATTACTAACAGTGATGCTAATATACAGATTTTAATTCATAATTGATCTTACAGATTTGTGTTCATCGAATGTTGAGTCATGAAAATATTATTAAGTTTTTTGGTCAACGACAAGAGGATAATTTACAATATATATTTCTTGAATATGCTTCAGGTGGTGAATTGTTTGACAGAATAGGTAGGTAGTTTGTATAATATGTATATAATTATATTTTTTAAAGATACAATATTTAATTACTGTAATGAATTTTTTCTTCATTTCATATTTTTTCTTAAACTCATTGCAAATTTGCTTCGAAATTAAAATTTTGTTCAAAAAACCAAATTATCTTGATAAAATCAATTAAATTTGATCATGAGGCATTATTATAAGATTTATTTGATAAATTTGTTTACTCTGAATTTTTTTAGCAATATTAAGAAAAGTATGTTTCTTTATTGGAAAATTACTTACCTTTCAATCAGAATATTCAGTTTATCTATTTTTATTTCAATTTTATGTATTTAAAACACTATTTGAAATTAATGAATTAAATTTGTTCAATTTGTAACATGTAAGAAATAAAATAATCTATAAACTTTCTAATATTTGTTAATTTTAAGTACTTAATAAAGATATATTATGTTTTTTATGTGTTAAAAAATAAAAAATAATGTTTTTGAACATTGATTTAGTGAGATGAACAAAAATATAGTTTCAAATTAAACTGTAAATAGAAATTTATGAGAGGAATAACATTAATTTTATAGGGATGTGAATGTTTAATATGTTAATAGAATTCTATTAAATTATGTAAATAAGAAGTTATTTTATATCTTATTGAAAATTAGAAGAAAATTCAGTAAGTTAATCAAAATTTTTTTCTATATTTAGAACCAGATATTGGTATGCCACAATCCCATGCACACAGATATTTTTGCCAATTAATTGCTGGAGTGGTATGTTGAATTAATGAATTTGCATTAATTTTTGTTATATTTTTTATTTTAAATGTTATATTTATATCTAAATGTNAAACTATTATTTGAATGCTATTTATTAATTGTATGTTTTTTCAGAAACTAATTTTTTTGCCTTGTTTAATTTATTAATATCAATAGTGTTGTGAGAACTGGGGTTACAGATCATTATTGTCAACTACTTTGATTGGCATCAGCCTGGTAAAGGCTGCTCAAGTGTCACTGGATGGCTGTTTAGGAGGGCAAATTGTCGAGTAGGGAGGGGGTGCAGATAAGTCGCAATAGGGTTGTTCGGCATCTATTAAGTCCACAAGATCAGTTTAAACATCAAAAATAACAATTTAATGAACTAACTTAAAGTGTACAAGATTATATACAGATATAAGCAACATAATGTCCAGTCTATGGACTACTATATTGGTTATATGTTAACTCTACTTAAATGCTAAATGACTGCAAGAGTTTACATACATTCTAACATAATACCTCAGCAAGATTGATGATGTCTTCTACTTTCATCAGTATCGGTAGTGAGTCTTCTATGAAGAGTTTGGCCTGTAGTATGGCAGGATGGGAATGATCAGGTAGAGCTTCTTCCCAATATGTCTACCCCAATCCTCAGATTCAAGTCCTTTTTATCCTCCCCAAGCATGGGAGTAAAATCAGGTGATTTTGATTTAATGTGGTCTAAGCCTTATATAACAAACTCTAAGTAATTGTATCTGCTCCGCCAAATGGCACTACAGAGTACAAAGAGACTATGTCTTAATCATAGGCCTGGTCTGGTATCCAGTGACCACTGGATGTCTTGAACTCTTTTAAGTCAAACCTGAGTTAAGTGCTCTGGCTCTGGCAATACAACCCAAGACGGAACCAACCTCCCTTGCCTTTCTTGCTCCCAAGTCCAATCCTCTTACATGGACATACGTTTTAGGTGCTGCCTGTACTGCACTAAGAGTGCTCTATCTTTGAGAGTTGTGTTCACATTTACAGTCAGTGAGGTCCCCCTCCCCTAGACAAGGGGAGCCCTGCCTGGTGGACACACCAGGCAGGGCTCCCCTTATAGGTCAAATTGACCAGTATTACTTCCATCAATTCCTTTAATGTCTCTAAGTTTTCTTTACTTGCTGCCAGCATTCGAAGTACTTGGTCTTCAGGCTTTTTTCAGTCAATATGATTAGCCCTTCAACGGATGTTCTCCATGTATGGGCACTCAAGTACATACTGCCTTGTATTGCGACATAGGTACCCACAGGAGCAGCAACCATCTCACTTCCAAATTTGGACATGAAGTGGGGAAACTTCCTGTGCTCATGAGGACCTGGATCAGTCTCCAATTACAACTGGTTGGAGTTATGCCAACTTCAGGCACGAAGGCTTAGGTTGACCTACCTACTGTACTGAGGTTCCAGCACTCTTGCCAGCATGTTATCGATCATTGCAGTAGAGTACCTTTTATGTAACTTGCTGGAGGTTTCACCTTCTCCATTACAAATGGGCTCCTGGCTACATTCTTGGCCAGTGGTTAGCACACTTGTTGCCCAGGATTTTGGTGTGGCCTCAAACCCATCTCAGGTCAACTTGTCGCATGTGCTTTGCTCTACTCTACCTCTGATCTCTAGTGGTACCAATCCCAATGGTACCAGTCACTTAATGCCTGAAGCGATGACTGGCTATCAGAGTATATTGTGACCAGTTCAGGACCTGGATGGAGTAAGATCCGCATGTGGTCTAAGGTTGGGATGTGTCATTGTATCGGCTGGCGGGAGGCCATAGTAGTGATACTTTCTTGCCATGTGTTCTGATTCTTTTACCATATAAGGCAACAAATTTGCAGTTCTTAGACATCACCAATGCGGTGTTGTGACTCTTCTTACCTCATAATTTAACCAATTTTGACATTTTCCTCATTAATAACCATATGTTTGGATCGATCATTGACATTTATTCCAAATAAAGTTAAAGCTTGTTGATTTGTATGGTTATTTTATTGTCTTTATCTATTGCAGGGATGGCGAACCTTTTTGAGTCTGCGTGCCACATATTAAGCATACTTTTCCTTTAAAATGTTTATGCATGCAGAAGTTTTAGACTTCTAGTAACTACTGTATATTTAAATTTGGCTGAATGGCTGAGTGGTCAAAGTGATAGCTTATCGCTCTTGTGGACCTGAGATCAAAACCCCAGAAAATTTTCAGGTGGTGATCCATTCTTCACCACCTGGCTATTCCATTTGGATTTGATAAATAAAACAGCATTCTTAGTGCCCACAGGGTGAAAAGAGTTTTAAAAATCTATATATAAATAAATAAAATAATATGCTGTAATTAGGGTAAATGTAAAGAACCTGATTGAAAAAGATGATAAATCGAAATCAAATAATACGTTATGTGCTGGATGATTTCTTTGATGTGCCACTTTGGGCCAACGTGCCATAGGTTTGTCACCTCTGATCTATCGGATCAGAGGTCACCGGAAAGGTCAGGTGGTGGGAAAAGAAAGTGAGTTTTTTCCACTTCATAATTAACTGCGTATTAATTTTTAATTCCTTAATTTAACTAATTAACCATGCTTGGGATCCTACAGTATTAAGAATATATTATCATCAAGATGAAGTAAAATTAAAATATAAAATCAACATATTGAAAATAAATTAGTTTTGTATATTGATTTTATATTTTAATATAGTATTGTACATGTGTAAATTTAATTAATTCTGTATAAAATTCAAAATATACATTTTTAAGGAAATTCATTTATATATGTTACTGTGAATGACCGATATCTGGCAAATGTCGAGATTCTCCGGTTAATGTCAGCATTCACACAGTTGTTTCGTGTATGTAAGAAATATTTGCTAAATATCATTATTTCTCACTTACGCCAGCAAATGTTGACATTCAGCATGCACTGATGGTGAATGTTGAATAAAAATATTTTTATTACGTTAAGACAAAAATGCAACTTTTTAATATGTCAAAATAGGAGAAAGCTTAAGTAACAGCACATGTAAATAAACTGTTGAACCTAAAACGAACAGTACATTCTAATTCATTAAAGAAAATAATACAATAATAAATTTACACATAAATTATGTGATTAACGTTATAGAATCTTATTTATTGCAACAACTTAATTAAACTGCTATGGCACTTTGAATTGCACAAGAGTTCTTTGCTTTTACAACTACATTTATTCATGGAACACTTCTTTTTGCAATGACAGCGTGTATAGTCGTGCTGTCCACCTTTCGAGTTAGCTGCAGCTGCTTCTCTCAGCGATATTTCTTGAGCAAAAATCTCATCTGAGGAAAGTAACTTTTCTTTACAAATTATGAACCGATTATGGGGTTTTTGTTTTTACTCTTTTTGCCCTCTGGGTATTAAGAGGGTCTCTTTTTTGAAATCCCATTATGGGTTCAGCCAGGCCCACAATGGGGCTGCCGGGTAGTGAGGGACAGGGCCCGACATATCCGAACGGACCACCCCCAAATAATTCCTGGGGATTTTTCGACCCATTTGGATTCGAACCCGGGTCACCCAGAGCAGTAGGCTGCCACCTTGACTGCTCGGCCATTCGGCCGCTGACTGATTATGGGTATAAAGCTGCTTGAGGGTACCATTTTTGTTTGCTAATTTATAAAAGTAGGAATCTTCTATTCCAACAACAACCGCCAACACATTTTGGGCATCTGTACGGCCATGGTCGACATCAGGGACTTGTATTCGTACAGTATCACCAATTTGAGCAGAAGGAAACCGCAAAGAATTTGGTGACAGACTGTTGCCTCTCTGTCGACATCGGCTTCTCAGATGTCATTTCGACCTCCACCAAAGCTTCTCTGTGCTTGTCGACATACACTGGCGATTGTTCGAATGTATAATAATATAACCAAATATTTGGTCTTTCACCGACCTATTTTGTATGTGTCGACATTCTCTAATTTCGGTCTTTCACAGTAACATATACATATATATTGCAAAGAGATATTATAATATATGTATATATATATTATAATATCTCTTTGCAATATGCTCTCAGTTAATTTAAGAGAATTCTTGGGAGTTTTGCATGTACTGTACTTCATATTAGGTAACAAAATCCATTTTAAATTAAAAAGATAACTGCTTAGAAAGTAATGAAAACACTCACAACTGTTTTTATGCAGCAAAAGCTAATAAGTAACATTTTCGGTCTTACTAAAAGTATATCTTCAGGTCTTTTAATAAGACTGATAATGTTAATTGGGGCTGCAATTTGAAAAAAATTGTAGACTTATAAATTCCCACTGTTGTCTGTCTTTCTGTCCTTCTTTAATCTCAAAAATGGTATTACATAGATGAAAGGTGAGACCATATATGGAAAGCTTAGGTGCAAGAAGCCTTGGTTAACTACAGGCAAACTTCTGGTTTGCACTGGCAGTCACAATATTTCAAATCAAAAATTTTTCCTGAAAGGAATTAGATAGATGACCAGCATGACTATTGTTAAAGGAAAAGTATGATGTATAGGGGCAAGACACTGAGGTGGGGAGCATAAATTTTAAATTAAATAAATTAAAAATATGATTAAAAATTGCAGCCCAGCATTGTGATGATGTCAGTAAATAATTGCTCGTTATTAAATAGTGTTTTTGCTGCTTACAAAAGGATGTAAGCATTTTTGTTAATATCCATTTTAAATGCTTTTACTTTTAAAATGTAATTGTATATTTATTTTAAGTACATTTTCTATCTGAAACATTTTGTTAAGCAAGTATGACTATCATATGTCTTAATTTAAATATTAAAATATTGTAATATATTTTGCATAGATAGAATGTTTGTACAAAAAGTCATGATTAACATTTTATTTTGAAGGAAGGAAAAGCACAAAATATCAATAAAAAATAAATGTCATCAAAATTATATAATTTTATTAGTCTTTAATATAATTTCCAATTAGTTCAATGCACTGATTAGAAGTTTGAAAATACCTGTTCAGTATCATTCCCATTAGTTTTAGAAAAAGTGCATTAAGGCAGGGGGTGCTGTTTCAGGCACACAGTTCAAATTCAAGAAGGAGACATGGTGCCCATTTATTGTGTATTGTGTGATCTTGGTAGTCTCTGTTCAAACCTTGTATTAATCCAGTCTACATTAAATGAGTGAACTGTTACTGTTTACGTTTTGTTGTATCTTTTACCCAAAACATCGTGAAGGCTCACTGACAATGCCTCTTTTATAGAATTCCATTGAGCTGCACAGTCCTGATGAATGTTAAATTCCATGTTGTTGCTATCATGTCATTCTCCTTGCATCTGTCCCTAGTTAAGTGACAGATATATGGAGAGGATACTCAGATATTGTATTACTTCAAATATAAGCTGGAGTTTAAAATTGAAAGAAATAATAAAAAATAAAAAATGATTTTATATGATTCACATCAGTTACGAGATATCTTCCTTTTTTAGGCCCCAAGAATGATTTTCTGTTTTTTTTACATTGAAATAACTTTTCTTTCATGGTTCTTTAATGATGCACATTATTTTCATAAACTGTAAATCTTTTACCAGCTGTGCAATTTCCAATTTTTTTGGTTCAATATAACTTTTCTTTTGAATTCAGCATCATATGCGAATCGTTTTTCCATTATTTCCATAATTTTACATCTTAAAAATTGGAATAAAAAGTGTGGCTTAAATTTGAAGTAATAAGGTTGCAGTATGAGACAGTTAGGTTGAAAGTGTGACAATTTGTCAACTATATTTTTCAATTTTTGCCCTTGTTGACTGAGCCAGGTGTGGATGAGTATTATAACGTTGAAGGATAACTTTATTCCACTGTGAGTGTTCTCATTTAATTTCCATTATCCGTTATTCCATTATAATTAATAGTAATATAATTATTATGGGTAATAAAATTAAAATACGATTCTCCACAGCTGCTATCAAATAGCAGCTAGATTAAATCAGAAAAGTGCGAATGGGAAACCACAAAATAAACTGCTATTAAAGATCGTAATACAGTAGATCCCCTATAACATGGTAGATATGTTCCATGTTATATGAATACATGCTGTATGAGTCACTTAAATTTTATAAATACATGAGCCGTTCACAGCCCAAAGCGATTAACTTTAGATTAGTTTTAGATAACATAAAAATTATAAAATTATTAGACTTACCTAATTTATGTATGTATTATAATTAATATCTTTTTAAATTTATTTAAAAAGATTAATTTTAAGAAGACTTATTTATCAGTTTTCCTGCCTAAACTGTCTGTATATATGTGTGCCGCTGGACGGCGGTTACTATTGGTCAAGATTTGACCAATCCTGTCGAGACATGAGTTGGCCTTGACAATCTGTCTCATTCTTTTACCGTGTTATACAAACATGATCACAATTTTTCTGCCATGTTATACAAATCCATCTTATACAAACCCGTGTTATAGGGGGTCTACTGTACTATGTGCATGCATGGAGTGTAAAGCAAAGACCCGATTGTTGGGGAGTGGGAGATCAGCAAAAATAAGAAGCTAACATTCATTTTGAATTTAAGCCACACCATAATTTTACATCTTAAAAATTGGAATAAAAAGTGTGGCTTAAATTTGAAGTAATAAGGTTGCAGTATGAGACAGTTAGGTTGAAAGTGTGACAATTTGTCAACTATATTTTTCAATTTTTGCCCTTGTTGACTGAGCCAGGTGTGGATGAGTATTATAACGTTGAAGGATAACTTTATTCCACTGTGAGTGTTCTCATTTATTGCATAATGGAGCTTCATCAATGTTTTAGTGTAATATGAAGCATTGATGGTTTCAACTGGGTTGGAAAAGTGAATATAGATCCTTTGACAAACCTTGCCTAAAATGCAAAATATTGCACTTGAGAATAAAATTTACAAACAACAAAGTGATTATAAAGTCAAACATTTATGACAATTAAATGTACAATTTTTAAAAATTGTTGCACACTGTAGCACAATGCACATATCTGGTGAGACAGCTATGTCATCATTTTAGAAGTCTACAAAGAAAGGCCAGAAATGGTAGAAACTTTATGCATGTGAAATAATGTGTGGTTATTGTAATGTGACTCTGTTTATTCAGACAGTTGTTTTTATAATATTTATTTTTTAAATATATAATCAGTAATTTTACAGACATAAAATAATTTAGATAATTCTTGTATGTTGATAATAACTAATGGAAAATCACATTAAAAGTTTATTTGCTTTTTAACCCAGGCAATGCTGAGTTTGTCTGCTAGTATTAACTAAGTCTAATTTACATATTTAAATCAGTTTAGTTTTTATTAATTTTTATTTATTAATTTGTCTGTGAAATTAAATTAAATTTAAACATGTTCAAACTTTTTGAATGCATTTTTTTGAATAAATTCAAAGTAAATGTAATAATCTTGACAAATTTTAGAAAATTTGAAGTACAGTAAGACTCCGCTTAACGCAGGGAATGTGTTCCTAGACGACAAAGTACTAAACAAAACAGCATTAAATGAAGAGATTTTAACATAGAATAAATAGGGACCAAAAATAAACAGATATTACTTTAATTTTAGTTATTTTTATATTAATTTGCATAATAATATATGTTAAATAACACACAAACATATGCACACAGAAATGTAAAGTTCAGTTTTTGTGCTGAAGGTCCTGGTTCTTGAAATTCTTGTTTTTTGTGATAAAGTTGTGTAGTTTCATTTGTTGCTTTTTTTGTTTCCTTAAGCAAATGTTGGTAGCAGAAGATTGCATCCAAAATGCCTCAGTTTGCTTTTGCACTCCTTTCAAAATTTGGATCATTTGCTACAATTTGATCAATGATTACAGTTATCATTACCAAACTTTTGCTATAAGAGATATAAATATGAAAGAAATAGCAAAAGACAATTTTTTAAAATGATGTTAAACGTTATTAATTATATTATTTCAAATGGATAATTAGAAGTGTATTTGTAATTTTATATATTGTATATTTTTTTCTTTAATACAGGAATATTTACATAGTAAAGGAATTACGCATCGTGATCTAAAACCTGAAAATCTTCTTTTAGATGAAAATGGTATTTATTATTTTTTACTACCTTAAATTCAAAAAAGACAAAGAATAATTTAGATTTTAAAGAGAGAGATTAATATTGTAAAACTTTATATATTTATATTTGTATAAAGCTTTGTTCATTNTGGTCACCAGTGAATTTTGACATATATAATGCTTAAACATTATATTAAAGTATAAATATAAAATAAAGTATTGATAATTATATAATAAAACAACAAAAATTTATTAATTAATACAATGAATTAATCTTTAAATAAAATTTTATATTTAATTAGATAATTTGAAAATTTCGGATTTTGGGATGGCAACAGTTTTTCGTTATAATGGAAAAGAAAGACTTTTAGCAAAACGATGTGGAACTTTACCTTATGTTGCTCCAGAAGTTTTGATGAAAGAATATAAAGCAGAACCAGCAGATATCTGGAGTTGTGGAGTGATTTTAGTTACACTTTTAGCTGGTGGTAAGTATTAAGTGTTAACAATGTTTATTTTATTTTTAATTAAACATATTAACTAAATTTTATAAATTGCTAATTTATATATTTTCAATAAATCTTTCTTGCTGTTGAATAACGTTTATCAAATTATTTGCCTGTTATATATGCACAAATTATTCTTAGAAGTTATATGCATTATTATTATTTTTCTTAAATTATTTCTGATTGAATAAGAATATATTTGCAGTTTGATTTATTGATTTATGCTATGATATATAATAATAACAAAGCTATTTATAAATACTTTTGACACTGATGTCCATTTTCAGTGGTTCAGTTGCATTTTCTTCTTAGCAGAGTAATTTGTAAAGTAAGTTCAAATGATTTGAATATCACATTTCCTTAAAGGCAGTTTTCAAGAATAAAACCATTTTTTGAATAGATAATTTTTTCTGAATATTCTGAAATGAATGCATTTTAAATTCATTAAGTTTCTATGTAAATGTCAGATAACATATAGGAAATACACTGTAATTTTCTACATCAATGCTACTCAAAGTGAAGCTGATTCATGGAATGGTGAACTGGCAGCTGATGGTTCAGCTGCTCCACAAAGAGTTTTCAGAAAAGAGAGAACATGGTATTAAATAATATTGTGCTTTCAAAGTATATATTATAATAATAGTAATTATATAATATTGCTACAATATGTATTTATTTAAATATGAAACTACCATTATAGAGTCACCTTCTCACTCAAATGCAATAATACAAGATTATGACAACAAAATGATTCCTGACATGTTGGGGAAAAAGCATATCAACTAATATGAGAAGCATTGATCTTATTTTTTTAAATTGTATTTTATCAAAAATTTGCAGTATACCTTGATATATAAATAATAATTATTTATTACAATATTAATACAGGGTGTTTGTAATTAAAATATATCATTTTAAACTGCTCTGGAGACAAAACTGTTAGAAATGGATTGATAAATTTTGTAGGCATGTTTATATCAACACAGGAAAACTATGGACAGAGTTTCAAAAGTAGTTACAAGTTTGCTACTAGGAGTTTATAAAGCCGCCATTGTAGCAGCATTAAAGAAACTGTTTAACATGCTTTTTGTCATTCCTAGTCATATATTGCAATAGAGTTATCACATCAGCAACAGCCAAGTACATCATATCAGACCTAATGACACTCACTTCTTGCCTCTTTAGTTCTAGTAAATCCAAGACTTCACCTGTATAAACCTTATTTTTCAATATCCCCATAACAAGAAATCATAAGGTATGAAATCAGATGAATGAATAGGCCATTGCATTGGAAAAGACTGACTGTAATCTTCCTTTCATTGCCAAACATGTTAGACAATACATCTCACAATGACTGATTTGGGTTTTGCTCCATCCTGCATAAACATCATGATGATACTCAAACACTTTTTCTACTATAGTTTAGGGAAGACAAAAGCTTTCAGCATGTCTTTGGAAAGCATATTAAACAGTTTCTTTGATACTTCTGCTGCAGTGATGCTGTTATAGATTCCTAGCAGCAAAAATTGTGGCTATTTTTGAAACTCTCTCTCTCTCTGGCTATAGTTTTTCTGTGTCAAGATAAATATGTCTACATGATTTTATTGATCTGTCTCTAACAGTTTTGTTTTCAGTGTGGTCTAAAGTGGTATACTTTAATTGTAGACATTTTGTATTTGACACATTTATCTGTATTGTTTACTGACTTATGGGTTGATAAAAATTTGTAAATGTAAAAAATATATTAAAAAATTTTACACACTTTGTTTTGCTCTCAAATAAATATAGGAAGATGCCTTTTAAAAGTTATGCAGAAGACTGTTGCACACATACATGTAGTATTGAAGGGGGTCAATGGAAAAAGTTTTGTTTAAAGAGGTCAATATATGAAAAAAGTGAGAACTTCTACTGTAATATGATAAATTTTGTTATGATTAGATACAGTGGATATAGATATATCTAGTAATAAGAATAAGATAGAAATTTTGTTGGATGGTTGTAACACCATATATATGGTCTCCCATAGTAGTATCAAGAATAAACAAATGTCATATCATCAAAATCCAAATCATTAGTCAAACTTAAGGTTAAACTGGTTAAACATCTGGATTATCAATCTAGAGCTGGGGTTCAAATTTTGTTCTAGGTCAATCTTATCTTTCAGAATTTTTCAAATGATTTAATTAAATTCACAATTAGTTTCTAATTATTAATTTAAATCTAATTAATTTTTTACTTTAACTGCATAAAAAATTGAACCAGACATTTCATAAATTATGCAAGTTTGTTCATGATGCTATCTTTCACTGCCAGTAGCAAAATGATCTTTAGACAGAACTAACACACTACTTTTGGTATGAGAAACATGTAATTTATCATATTTCTGTTTAATTTTTGTAAAAATAAACAAGTTATTGGTGATTTTTTTTTAAATAATTTTTTTCACACTGATTGGATTGATAGTAACCAGTAGACATCATTATTATATCTTCTATGATTCAGGAAATGGGAGATAATTTTGATTATGATAACTACCTCACTCAGTCCTTCATAAACTACTCTTCATAAATATATATTGTATAATACAATAAATCATTATATTGTATTATTTAAAACACTGTGGTACTTTAGGTTAGATATATATCTTGTAACTGCTTAAATTAAAAAAAACCTGATGCAATTATTAAAAAACAAACAGATCAATATAATGAAGAAATATGAGTATTTAGAAATTTTATCAGTTTATTAATTATATTGTAATTTATTTCTCAAAATTAATATTTACTTTTGACTTTCAGTTTAATTTTTACAAAATGTACATATTTTAAAATGCATTAAATTTTTAGAATTGCCTTGGGATAAACCGACTTATAATTGTAAAGAATATTGTGCCTGGAAAGAGTGTAAAATAACTGAATCTCCTTGGTTAAAAATTGACAATTTAGCTTTATGTAAGTAATTATTTAATATATTCAAATCTTTCAGGGTTATTTAAAGTTTTAAGTAGTTGGTCTGAAATTATATTAAGTAATTTATTTACAGATATTTTAAAACAGAAATTCATTGTTAGATATACCAGTCATTAAGTAAAATATGTAAACTAATTATTTCAGCTTTATTAAGAAAAATACTTATGCCAATTGCATCCAAAAGATATACATTAGCACAAATCAAGAAACATCAATGGTACAAAAAATTATTTAAAGTTGAAGGTAAGTATAAAATTTCAAAATTAGTGTTTGTATTTTATTTGCTTTTATATTTTATATTATTATTTGCTTTTGTATGAATCAGTTGATTTAATTTAAATAGTTTAAGATCTTACAATATAGTTTTTAGTAATTATCTGAATAAAATACTGTATTGACCCAAACATAAAATCTACTTCCAATTTTGGAATTCCTACTTTTTAAAAAAAGTTAGGACCTGGATATAAGTTGAATTGTAAAAACTTAACTACAGTATTAAGAAAAATGCAGTAATATATACTGGTAATAATGATTTTAAAGCATGTGTGAAAATTGGCAAAAATATCAATAAAATGGTGTACAATTAACTGTAGTTCATAGTACAGTGAGATTTACATAAATAACGTTATTTCTGATGCTGTTTCTTTTGGAAGTCATAACTAATACCTTAGCTATATATTGCAGCTTATTTACAAAGAAGTCAACATTCCTTTACAACTTTCACTTTTGATAGCTTATACAAGAGTTTATGGTCAAGGTTTTAGGTAATTATATTTACATACAAAAATTGACAATTTGGATTTAAAAAAAATTGAAAAGTCATTTTCATTACTTTCATCTTCATCATTCCTGTCTCCTATTTCATTGCCATCACAGTTTTTAACTTCCTTCAACATTATCCCTACTCTGTCCAAGCTATCAGTAACACATTTCTTAACCTTTGTAGAGAGGGTTAGTCAGATATGGTGCTATCATGTAGTGGAGAATAAATGTGGGAAATTTTTTAAGAATTTTCCCACACATTTTTCTCATTTTCGTTTCGGGAAAAATTTTTTAAACAGTTATGTCTAGTAAAGAAAAATCTTTCTTTATTGTCACATAATTCCTTTTTTATGTGAATTTTTTGTAAGTTTTGGCTAGTTTTTGGCAATATCCACAAAAAATTTTTGTGGATATAGACATCGTTCTCCAGTGCCATGTGATCGTGATCGCCCTTGACGGGGTATATCTGTCGATCACTGCGGAGTGGTTAAAGCCCTTTATAATTGTGTTTTCACCAACAATCTTTCTTAATTTTACTGTTGCTTCAACTTTTACAGGAATATGTGAAATTTTTATTACTTTTTATCTATGCAGTTCATTATGAAATTAGTTATATTCAATTATATTTCTTTTCAAAATTAGTTTAGAAATAAATTTTTTCTGTTTTGAATTTTATTAATATATTGTAAAATATCAGGGAATTAAGCAGCATAAGTGAATGCTTAGTAATTTTTACAATTTAGTAATACAGTAGAACATCGATTATCCAACCCCCGATTAACCGTCACCTCGGTTAACCGACTGCGTTCTAGTCGGCAAATTCAAATGTCCACTAGTGATGTGGCGCTACAATATTTGGCTATGTCTTGGCTACTTTAATATTATTTTTACGTGTTTTAGCTGGCAACACTGGATTGACCATGAAAGGAAGCCAGTATTTAAATGAGGCTTAATTTTCTAATTTTTAACGATACAATAGCGACGATTATTATTTTAAAAAATTTTTGTTAGGCTTAACATCGATGAAAATTCAACGCGAAGTAGGTTAATAGCGATATACTAATATACTAATTACATGGGATATAATAATATACTACACTAATAATGGATTTTTTCATACTTTTCGGTTATCCGACTTTTCAATTATCCGACCAACCCCAGTCCCCAATTGAGTCGGATAATTGATGCTCTACTGTATTTAAATCATAATTAGTTGATTAGAAAATTGTATTCAAAGCCTTTATAGAAAGAAATATATGTATTGGATGCCAAAAAAAGAAAAAAATTAAATTAATAAAAGTTATAGAGCAAAATTGAGATAATGTCCTATGTGCTAAGAAGTAAATTGCCTAGCATATACACCATACAAGGGGAAGTATCCACCAGAAGAATTTATATACACTTTTATAACTTTGTATAAAGAATTTTATACAAAGTTTAATTAGGTTCTAATGATGAAATAAGCATATTATACAAATAGAGAAGATTATAAAAATATATAAATTTAAGCATGGAGTATTTTTATATATTTTAGTCTATTTATTCATGTTAATATGAAAGTTTAATTTTCAATTACCAATAAACATAATGTAATTGACAAAATTATTACATTTTTATTTTTAAATTATTGATTAAGCTTTAAAACATATAAAGTATAAAATTTTATATATTGAATAATAATAATAGTTATATTCTAAAAAGTCTATTAAATATACAGTATATTAATATAATGTATTTTTGCAGAATTTCAAAATGTATATGAGAATCAGTTTTTGCCTTGCAAACGATTATGTTCTAAATATAATCCTTTATTAAGGTAAGATTATGAATTTTAGCTTGTAAGTAAATTTGATTTTATGTTATTTACTTTTATTGATTATATAAAAAATTTAATATAAAAATATTTATTTCAAAATAAACTTAGGGAAGATACAGTTATGCATTTAACTTGTTCTCAACCAGAATTTATAAAAGAAGAAGTAAAATGTTCTCAAGATAATTCTACAGCAGATATTGTTCATGTTGTTAGTTTTTCACAGCCAGCTCATCCTGAACATATGTTATTAAGCACAGATTCCTGTTTTACAAATAGTCAACTTCAAAGTACACCAAATTCATCACAGGTAATTTATTTGTTTATTATTACTATTATTTTGGATATTTTAGTTTTAAAACTATAAAAAATTATTTTGAAATTCGACTTTTTGATTGTAATTGCTGTTATCAGTCATTCAATCTATATATCCCATTGAATGCGTGTCCGTCCGTCTGTACGTGTAACGGTATGCCAGAGACGGGCACTAGAGTCGCCCCTATCGTGTGTCATATTCCAAACATTTAAATTAACAATTTAAATTATTATTTAAATTAACAATATATATTATTATTATTCATTTGGCCAATAAATTGTTATTTGGCCAATATAACAATATAAATAATTCAGTATATTTGTAATAGGAATTTATTGTCATGGAATGCCTGTAATGTATACTAGGGGGCAAATAACGAAAAAATGGATAGTTTTGAAAATTATATAGTGGACTACCAGAAGGTAATATTTTAATATAGGAATTTGTAATGCTGCTAAAACGCCCACTAGGGGACATCCTGGGCTACTAGTATTATCAGAATTAACTCATCCTAAAATATGTAAATTAAATAATATTACAAAACTTACTTGTAATAATCAGAAATACACTTATAATAATTATTATGTTACTAACGATAAGTTTGAATTTACCTACAGTTAATTACAGCCAACTGACAAAACTGATACTAATAACCATTAGTATGGCTATAAGCCATGTTGTTCCAGTAAAAACATTACAACAGTTTAAATTAATTTAAATTAAATCACCCAATCATGGAGGATGTTTACTCTTAATTATTTAAAAATTAATTTTAATTTTGCACTCAGTATAAAAGAGGTGAATAATTTGTGGTTCATGAGGTCTTAATATGTGGATCCTTCAGCTTTTGCATTGTAATTTTATTTTGCTGTTTTCTGCCTCATGCCATTATGCAACCCTAACAAATATTCATCATGAATATCAACTTAAACATATGTTTATATATACACATCAAGAATACAACTCTATAAATTATGATTATGCTATAAGTTTTATTTAAGAAATGATTTTAGAAGTGAAACTGTTGTAATAATTATGTATATTATTATTTTTATTAGTCACCATTACAAAGATTAGTGAAAAGAATGACCAGATTCTTTGTTCAAGATAATGCTGAGATAACACTTAAAAAATTAAAAGAAGTCTTTGAAAAATTAGGTTATATGCAGAAGAGAACTTCTCCTGGACAGGTTTGTATTCATTATTTTTATAAACTAAAGCTTATTTTATAATTTATTGATAAAATTGTAAAATAAAATATTTACAAACACATATACTATGTGTATGTGTTTGTAAATATTTACATACATTTACAATAATTACATACAAGCATTACATACCTACACATATACTATGTATATGTGTGTGTATGTAATGCTTTTTGTTTTTTTTTTTTTTTTTTCAAAAGTTTTTTTATATATTATTAATTTTGTCAAAAACATTTTTATTAATTAAAAAATTGTTCTTCAGTGTAAATAGTTTTTCTGCATAACCAAAAACTATTTTTAATGTGTGATTTAATACTTATTATAGTTCATTACTGTATTATTTTTTTTATATATGATAGTAAAAAATGTTTCTTAGTTACACAGGAAAATTATTTGCTCTGTAGTGATTTGTATTTTATGTTAATAGAAAGTTGCTGCTTTACAAATCAGTTAAATTCATTAGTCATTTTCTTTTCTGTAATGAATGCATCACTTTATTTCGCATTTAATTTTCAATATTTTTTCATAGCCATAGCAAGTATAACATTATACAAAAATGATAGCTATTTATTTGATCCTTCCTTAATGAAAATAAAATATGATCAATAATTAACATAAATAAACTAATTTGCATAAATATAATTCTTAATCACAATGTAATACAGGGTGAATGACATGCATTATTATATATTTATATTGTAAGAATTGAAAAATACAAAATATAATTGTTATGATATGCACTTTATGTCCATTATTTTTTTAGCGACAGTTTACTAAATCCAGCCAATTTTTTGTGAAGAACTTAATTATCATAATTTTTAAATTAGTCAATACCTTGTATTTAGCATTTCAAATAATTCTTAACTTTATACACAGAATGTCTCATTTTAAATCAAACAGTTAAATAAGCTGATAAACTAAATGATATCAAAAAGATGTTTTTAATAAAAGTTGCAATACTAGAGGGGGGAATGTGACTTAGTCAAGATTATGTAAAAGACAAATTTTTGGGGTTACAATATAGTAGAAAATGTAGTTTTTCAAATGGGAAACCCATACTTCTGAGTTTACCATGTTAAAAATACAAAAAAAATTCACATTCAACAATATGCCTTGTTAATATGCTTCATGTGCTTTTAGTAACATGTTTGATAATGTATTGTCAACATTACTGATGCCTAAATTGTACCTAAAGGAGGTTGCATATTTGAATTTACATCTTTATGAGAATATTATTCGTGTGTGCACAAGTTTATGAGGATTGTACAGTATAGCTGTAAAATTCCTCCCATATTTTTTTTACTCTAAACACCTTTATTCATGTTTTCATTATAATCTGAAGTTTATTTTCAATGTTTTATTACAAAAACATTGCCATAATTTTTCTCAAAGCAAAGTTTTGTTCTTTGTTGAAAATTCTGAAGAGCTGAAAACAGAATATGTTGAGAGATGCTTTTGCAAATGTTATTAATTTGCTCTTTTATGTCTGTGATACTTGTGATATACTATATAAAATCCTTTGGAATTACTTCAAATAGGGTCCTGTTTTGTGACTTGTAAGATGATCTGTTATCTTAAGTCAGTAGATCTTGCAGGTCACAAAATATATCTATCTGACTAAACCAAAAATTTGGAAAGATTTGGTCACCAGTGAATTTTGACATCTAGCAATAGTCTACAACTGCTATGTTCAACCCATGGCCCATGGGCTGCATGTGGCCCACTCAATGTTTTTGTGCAGCCCTTTTAAAACAGTAATTATCTTGTATAGTTTTTATTACAATGAAATATCATGTGTATATATTAACACGATGTATAACACCTTGTACACTCAGAAATTAAAACAGTTATTAAATATTTTTTAACAAAGCTTTAAATATATTACATATAATATATATGTATGTATGTACGGTACATACTGTATGTATATGTATTTAATCAGTATGTTTACAATAACAAATGTTTTTAAATTGGTGTTTCAGTATAATGAAATTATATTTCCTTAAATTTGCCCTATATGTGTGATAAATGTCAAACAATAGACACATTCTTAAGTTACAATGGTCTAATCTAAAAAAAATTGACAGCAGGATGGCTGAGCGGGATACGTTGAGCCCCATCCCTCACCACCCGGTATAATGATGAAATAAATGTTTTGCATAAATATAATTCTTAATCACAATGTAATACAGGGTGAATGACATGCATTATTATATATATCGGCNTTACGTTGTCACGTAATGGAGACATTCCTTGCTACTCCATCTCCAAATTTGTTGTCCACCCTTAGTGCCCACAGGGTGGAAAGAGTTAAAAAAAAAAAAAAAAGATGAGAATTACAGATGCAATGGGATCACCTATCTTTGTGAATCTTTTTTCTCAAAATTGAAGATTGTTAAATGTAAAAGTTCTAATAGATTGACTGATAAAAACTTAAAAAACCAACTTCGTTGTACAACATTCATTGTACTACTTCATTGTACAAAAAAAGAAAAAACTTTCAAAAAAGCAATTAAAGCAGTTGGTAATAATTGTGTTTATAATTGTCCTGTGCATGCATACACAAAAAACCCATAAAGATACATAAATCTGATTGTGTAACTTCTGTTAGTCTCAATTTAGGTATAGATAATACTGACAGTACCTTATCAAACAGTGCCACTTAATATGCAGACCCAAAATAATTTAGGCTAAAGACAGTATTGGAGGAAATGCACAAAACACGAGATAACTCAAGCAGCACCAGATTTAATGTTACATAATGCACATGCTCAATATTAATTTTTTAATATTAACAGGTATTACATTGTTGTACAACGAATACCTGTTGTACAACATTAATACCTGTTGAACGTAATACCTGTTGTACAACATTCGTTGTACAACAGATATTACGTTGTTGTACAACATTCGTTGTACAACAACGTAATACCTGTTAATATTAAAAAATTAAGTGAAAAAATTGAAAAGCAAGTTTCACATTAAAATACTTCAAAATACTGTATATGTTTTGTGTAAATAAATATGTGCGGTCCACAATGTATTTTTATTTTTAGTTTTGGCCCAGTAAACAATTTTGGTTGGACAACACTGGTCTACAATATCACAATAATACAATTTATATGTCAATATAAATGTTAGAGCATTATTGCTCTAACATTTATATTGACATTTCTAACAACAGTGAAAAATGTGGATTAATGTAAACTACACTTTAAATACTGGATGTTGTTACTAATAAAAACATCAAACTACACCTAATCTAGTAGAAAACAAATTTTAATGTTGAACCAACATTTTCAATATTTTTGTTCTCTACTGGATTAGGTGTTGTTTGGTGTTTTTATTAATGTGGATTAATATGTTCATTCATAAGCTTCACCAAACATTAATTATTCTACTGGTGCTGTATATTAACATGGCATATTCATCAGGGATTTTCAGGTGACCAGTTGATGCAATTTATAGTTGTATTACATTGCTCTTCTGTAATTATATTGCATTCTCTAATTACTAATAGAATATTAACAATTTCATTTGTAGAATAAGAAATTGGGTTATACAATTGTTTGTTGCAGTGCCCATTAACAAAATGCAACTCTATATTATTGACCTATTCAGACTAGGATGATATGGTAATGAGTTGATCTCAAAATTTAATGCATGGTCAATCTAGGCATTACCAAGTCATGTTCTATTTTTGGAATAATGCATAATGATTTGTTAATTTTCAAATCATCATATATTATTGCCAAGAACTGCCATTGCATGATTATTATTCATTATGTATTTGTCATCAATGCTTTGCATTTTGCATCTTTCTCAATACAGTGATCTTTGTTTTAGTTGAACAAATAACAAAATGCTCAAGTGTCTTCTGTGTGGAAAGTGGCTTCAATGTGTAGAAGCTTCTCTTCTGAAATTGTCAACACTCTCGAAATACTAATAGAATATCAATAATTTTATAAATCATGTGAAATGTTTGAAATGTTTTGGAACCTTACCAAAAATTTAGTGTTCTTAAAAAGAAAACAAAAATATTCTAGTCTTGATTCTTAATCCCTATAGATGGACTGAGGAAGTTCATAAGTGCTTGGCTGTTTATTTGTGAAATAATGTACTCCAATAAAACAGGAAATCATAATTAACTTGATTTATAATTAATATTTGTAAACAAAATTGTTAATGAATCAACAATTTTGTTTGCAGAATAATTGGGCATTATTACAGCATGAAATGATGTGAGGATCAGTAAAGATTAATGAGACAACTCATACCAGAAATAGAGATATGTCAAAACAAAATTAGTGTTTTACTTACTATTTGAACTGTTATCAAATTTGCACCATGAAAAAAAAAGAAAAACTTTCAAAAAAGCAATTAAAGCAGTTGGTAATAATTGGGTTTATAATTGTCCTGTGCATGCATACACAAAAAACCCATAAAGATACATAAATCTGATTGTGTAACTTCTGTTAGTCTCAATTTAGGTATAGATAATACTGACAGTACCTTATCAAACAGTGCCACTTAATATGCAGACCCAAAATAATTTAGGCTAAANAAAAAAAAAAAAAAAAGATGAGAATTACAGATGCAATGGGATCACCTATCTTTGTGAATCTTTTTTCTCAAAATTGAAGATTGTTAAATGTAAAAGTTCTAATAGATTGACTGATAAAAACTTAAAAAACCAACTTCGTTGTACAACATTCATTGTACTACTTCATTGTACAAAAAAAGAAAAAACTTTCAAAAAAGCAATTAAAGCAGTTGGTAATAATTGTGTTTATAATTGTCCTGTGCATGCATACACAAAAAACCCATAAAGATACATAAATCTGATTGTGTAACTTCTGTTAGTCTCAATTTAGGTATAGATAATACTGACAGTACCTTATCAAACAGTGCCACTTAATATGCAGACCCAAAATAATTTAGGCTAAAGACAGTATTGGAGGAAATGCACAAAACACGAGATAACTCAAGCAGCACCAGATTTAATGTTACATAATGCACATGCTCAAATAAACATGGATAATGAAAAATAATATGAAGAAAAAACTTAAACTTAAATTAATGTTATTTTTTGTATTTGCACCTTGTATTTGAACAGATTTTGTAATTTGTCATAAGCATACTTATTGTACAGTACATATTGACATACATTATATTAATAAACATGAATTCATATATGAATTCAGCAATCAGTTTAATTATGTACTGATGCAAAAGAATATAAAATTGTTTTTTGATTAACTCCTTTTTTGTTTGGCTTTGTGTGTAAGTACTTTACATTCTAGTTCCAATGATTTCTGTGAATAAAATATAACTGTATTTTTTTGGATGGTTTCTGTCAAACAAAGCACATGTTATGGCACATCTTGCTTCTAGCAAAGCATTGCATGTTTTTGAAGAAAAGACTGCATTAAAGGGTAAGTGCATAAAATACAATGCACTTACTCTTTATTTTTGTTTGATTTTTTTTTTGGTATACTTTAACATACTAAATTCAGAAGTAGTGGTTTCTGATAAAAACTATGTTTTCCAGTATATTCCTGAAAATTTGACCTCTATGTGTGATCTTGACTAAGTTACATTTTTCTCTCTGGTCCCTACAACTTTTTGGTATTGCTTAGTCATCAAGATATTTGATTGTTTCATTTAAAATGGGACATCCTATATATAAAAATCTGCTTGATTGATTAATATTAACATATATTATTAATATCACTTCTATTTCTTTATCATGTTGCAACATTCAGAAGCAAAACCTACATAATTATTTTCTGGTTAGGATATTTTTTAGAATCATCTTATCATTTTGTACTTTAGACAAATAAATTCATAATGTACAGAATAATGAATTACTGATTGAACATTGATTGGTTAAAATAATACACAAATGACAATAGATATATTATATCCTTGAAAAAATTTTTGATAAATAAAAAACTTAAAGGAAAAATAGTTAATTTGGAGAAATCTTGTTACTTGATGAGGACTAAGTCATTTTAAAATAATATAATTTTTTTAAATTTATAAATACAGTGGTATCTCGGTATACGTCTGCTTTAGAATACATCCTGTTTGGACGAAACAAATTTTGCTCAGTATACGACTTTTATTCGGTATACGACATAATTCAATTATACGCACCATTAATGAACAAGTAGCACTATCGGTGTACTAGACCAGACTAGACGTTCGCGGTGCAACGGTTTATAACTTTGTTAAATTTCTTCTGATTTTAATTTGTAAGTAAAATTTTATTATTTTTATTAATCACGAATTGCAAAAAGGCAAATGAAAAGCGACAGAAAACTAAAAAAATGACTAAAATCACAATGGAACTGATAAAAGAGATTGTTGAGAAATACGAAGGTGGCACGCGTGTTCGAGATTTTAACTGTTGCCTACCGTATTCCGAGAACGACGATATGGACAATCGCGAAAAATAAAGACATTATTAAATCTGCTAACGTTGCGAAAGGGGTTAAATCAATTTCTAAACAGAGATCGAAGACATTAGATCATGTCGAGAAATTGCTTTTGCTTTGGATAACTAAAAAACAGTGCTGGAGACAGCGTATTGGAAGCAATTATTTGCGAGAAAGCTAAAAAGATACACGCTGATCTCACGAAAAATCAAGCAGGAACTAGACAGGAAAGCGAGGTGTTTAAAGCCAGCCATTTTTTTTACATGAGAACGGATTAATCATTTTTACATTACTTCTTATGGGAAAGGTTGGTTTGGTATACGTCCAATTCAATATAAGTCCAAACATCGGGAACGGATTAAGGTCGTATACCGAGGTTCCACTGTATATTTGTTTCAATATGTTCATATTTTATATAACTTAGTTAAAATCAGGTATCAGATTTTTCGGTGATTTTAATAATTCTTTAATAAAATTAATATTATTTTTATAGATAACAATAATTACAAATGACAAAAGAAAAATGCAACTTAGCTTTAAAGTGAATTTGCTTGAAATGCAAGATAAAATTCTGGTTGATTTCAGGTTATCAAAGGTAAAGTTTTATTATATACCAGTTTAGTAAAAAAAAAAACAATAATTTTTATTGCTTATTATTAAAATATGTTTTTATTAATTTTTCTTTCTAGGGTGATGGTTTAGAATTTAAGCGTCACTTTATACATATAAGAAATCATCTATCAGATATAATTATTAAAGGGCCATTGACTTGGCCTATAGCAATAGCAACAAATTCACTACCATAGTTATTTAATTAAATTTAGTTAAAAAAAAATTACTGTGATCAATAAATGATTGATTATTTAGTAAATGTTTTCATATTGTAATTGAGTCTCTATTATCTTGTGTGTTGAATATGTTGAACTTTCAAATTCAGGAAAGTTTTTAAAGAAATTTTCAATAAAGGTTTATAAAAAAATTCATTCATAAATTTTTAAAAGTGATTTTGAAATTGTTTTAGGATTATATTAATTTGTAATAGTATACATATATTTTATAGATAAACATTTATATGAAAAAATGTAGATAAGCATATAATAACATGCTTTTAAATTATGAAGGTGTAAAAAATCATTAACAAATAAAAGTTTGACATTTGAATAAAAAAAAAGTTAAATTGTGTGTGTGTGTATTTTTACTTTTATGAACTGTATGCAGTTAAATGTACATATTTTGTATATTTACAGTATACAGATATTAAATTTTAGTAAAAATCAGGGCTGTGGAGTTGTGTAAAAATCTACCGACTCCGACTTTTCCTTATCATCCGACTCCGGCTAAAACACCAAAACTCCACGACTCCGACTCCGACTTTTCCTTGCCATCCGACTCCGGCTAAAACATCAAAACTCCGACTCCACAGCCCTGGTAAAAATAAACCTGAACACATTTGTTAGTGATGATATGAAATTCAGAATAAAATACTGAATTAAAAATTATAAGATTAAAATTCAGTTTTAGTTTCATGAAATTTTGTGTATGAATATTACAAATAAAAGTAGCGTCTGTAACAATACAAAACTAAATTTGGATATAAACTGGGAATAGCAAAGTATTGGAGGAATTTCTTAAGGAGAGTATTTCCTTCCAAAATGTATTGCAGCCCATGATTATGCAATTCATCTTGTAAAAATTGGATTTCGTACTGCCATCTTAAATAGGTGGAAAGGTTTTTAGTAAAAATTAGTTGAATAATCACCAGGAAAAATTGATGCTAACTTGAGAAACTTTGATAACTTTGTTAGGTTGATGATGTCTTCTTTTTTTAGAATTTAATTCTAAATATGTGCCAATTTAATGTATATAGAAAGATGAGACATAAAATATTTTAAAGTAATGAAATTGCTTGTAGATTGGTTTGTAACAAATTATATTTTTCTAGTAATTTTGATTAACTCCAATAGATCACATGCAAATAAACACATGTATAATGTCTGTATTCACAACTAGGAAGTAAGAGTTGCAGGTTAACCAATAGGTGTTTATGTATTAAAAGTAAAAAGAATTTTGTAATTGGTTAATTTCTGGGTTTTGGTATGCACAGAATTACCAGATATATATGTTGACTTGGTTAAATAATAATTGTGCAATCAAGATAAAACTATGGATAATCAGAATGTTTTTGATAGAATGCTATATTTCTTAATTTGTTAAGAAAGATTGTAATATTACTCCCTATAATGGATTTGATGGAAAAGAATAATGGAAGATATAATGGAAAAGAATTAATAAATTGACTGATTAATATTTTTTCTCCAAAAAATTTGAGAGGCCCAAAAATAAAACCTTAATTAGATCAGATGAAAAACTATTGATAGTTAGGACACTGCCTGTAAAAGTATGTTACTTAGCAGAAAAAAGTAGAAATTGCTATCAAATCTGATCTCTACTCATGGCTAAGTGCTAATAACTCTAAAGAAGAATTGTCTTGAAATTTTTAAATTTTGAAACTTGTTTTTATCAATTTAATCACCTGGAAATTTGTTCTTGAATATAACAACTCCTCATATGAAATCAATACAATATCAAAATGTTAAGAATTTTATTCCATTTTTTGTAAATTTTTACCTATAAAACATATTTGAAACTGTATCAAAATTTACGAAGAAAACCACTTTATTCTTGCTTTTTATAAAACTTTCAATCATTTAATACAAATATTTAAGTATTATATCAACAAAAATTTCATCAATGATGCTAAACAATTGCGATCATTTCTGGATATTGAATTTAATATAAATTAGCTATTTGATTCATACCAACTATTTCTTTTCATTTATTACAGACTTTCCAAAAATGTACGTGGTATATACACTTTGGTAGTAATAACTTTTATGTTTACTTTTAATTTTGATTTATTAATTTAGAATAGATGCTAGAATAAAGATTAGATTATCTATTTCTAATGCCAGTTTATACCCCCAAAAAATGTTATAGGATATTGGGATAAATTGTGTACAGTAGACAGTTTTTTGGAGATATCTTGTATATACATAAATTTGACATATACAAAAAAAGAAGAAATTTTAAATGCTTTTATAAAATTACATTAAATTTGACATTAATTTTTATACTAAAAATAGCATAAAACTAAGTCATATATATAATTTTAATTCTACAAAATAAATAAAAAATAATTACTGCATTTAAAATTTAATTTCTGGAATCTGATTTTAAAGTAAAATATAAAAAGCCTGTTGAAAACGGAAACCAAACTTGAAAAATATTCCGTACCGTGTGATTTCAGTTTACATAATTTTACTGAATAATTAAAAAAATAAAGGCCAAAAAATTTATTTACTTCATAATGATTAGCAATCACTAACTATTTTTAGTGGCGTCCAGTTTCCGGAATAAATATTTTCTTCCATATTCTTCAATAAAACAGGATATCTTTTCTGCCTAAAAATTTCAATATCAAAATGATCGCATAATAATAAAAATAAAATACAGTAGAACCTCGATTATCCGGACTAATTGGGGATGAAGGTAGTCCGGATAAGGAAAAATCCGGATAATCGAAACAAATACTTTGTCTTTTGATGATAATACAGCACGTTTTCTTTTCGATGACATATCGGTAATATTAAAAATAAATACTGTATTTAAATCGTGATCAAATTTTCAAGAAAAATGTTTTACAGTAGAGCGTCGTTTATCCGAAACAATTCCAGTCGGCCTAAAGTATAATTTTTATTTGTTTTTATATTTTTCAATGTATTTATTTCGTTTGTAAAACATAAAGAAATCATTTTTAACGATACAATAGCCACAATTATTATTTTAAAAAGTTTACGTTAGGCTTAACATCGACGAAAATTCAACGCGAACGACACGCAACGGAGAAAAATTTCAACACGGGATAGGTTAATATATTTTTTCGTACATAATCGGTTATCCGAACAACCCCAGTCCCCAATTGATTCGGATAAACGACGCTCTACAGTATTGAATTTGGACTACTACTGACCAGCGCTAACAGACTAGCTATTGTTTAAAAGGCCCTCTGGCGGCTCAAGAATAGGGATTTTATAAAATAAAAAGCAGTTGAAACTGCATTTTTATGAATAAAAATTTGACAAACTATTTATCGTTTTATGACGAGTAAAATTTTTTCGTCTCGTTCTCGGCTTTTAAGTAATGCATAAACCTTCGAGGCGCGAGGTCCTTCGGACCGCGAGGCATAGATGGTGGCCCACGTTGCCCATGCCTTACGCCGCCCTTGGTTATAGAAATGATGTAATTTGAGTATAAATTATTTATAAATACGTATGTCAAGTTATATTTTTATTACGACGCAAAATATATTTAAGAGTTTACGACCACTGTGCCGGGTGAGACGTTGTTGAAACAAAAAATGTTATGCATTCCATCACGTACATAAACAGTGTCGTAATTCGCCAAGTGCAAATCAGCAAATTCGTAAAATTTTTGTTTATTTTGAACAATCCGGATAATCGAAAATCCGGATAATAGAGGTCCGAATAATCGAGGTTCTACTGTACAATGTATCGGTATTAGAATAATGATTACCAGAACTATGATTAAAAACAGATTTACATTTTATAACAATTGCAATAATAATTTGATTACATTCAAATGCGAATTAATTAAAATTATTAAGTTTAATGATTTATTAATGAAAGCAGGAGTTTATATGTAAATTAATGGGGTGGTTACTTGACAAATATCAATGATACATTTTTGGAATTTGCTATTAATTTAAATGCCATGTTTCATATAAGAGATGTTTATTATGTTTAAAAAAATCGGTACAGTTTTTATGAGATTTTATGAACTTTTAAAGTGTCAAGTCGATACCTCTATATCATTTTCATCCCTTCAAAATAACTATTCTTACAGAGTTGAACTGTCTAGATGTTTACCACCTCTGTAACTTGTATTTTGATCAGTCTTGGCTTAACTTATGCTTTATATGGAAAACAGTCTATATGTTGATCACATACATACATATTTGTTTCTATTTGTTATTTGCTTTATAGGCTTCAGGGCAATGTGTTACGAGGACGATTTACCAGAGGCCTTTTTAAGGGAAAATTGGCCGTATTCAGGTGTTAACTTAATAATGCAAAGAAAACCCGACAAACTCCACATAGGCAGCCCGTTGACGAGGCGCGGACTTACGACCAACTACAGTACCAGAGTTCAGTTGTTTTATCCACTCAGGTATTTGTGGGTACCGGATTAAATTTTAAAATCATAATTAAAACACATTCCGAGGGTATTGGGTTTATATGCAGAAATTTTCATCTGTGCACATACACGTTTCGGTGTCTTTAACATAAATTGGATGATGGGATACAGCAGTTGTTTTCAACCAGGATGTAGCGACACACTAAGGTGATGAGCAGCACCATAACACTTCTTATGTGTATCAATAAACGCATGCGAAGTGCAACAACTCTGCACTGATAAATAGGAGAGCGCAAGAAAAAATTACCAACTTTGGGTGCCATTACTAGAAATAGGTTGAAAACTTGGAATAAAGTGATCTGCAACAGGAGGATTTCCTACGAGAAACTGGTTTTTGTTAAAAATATAGGTGATACGTGAAGAAAATCCAAAAAAAAAAAAAAACTTTACGGAGCAGCATCTTAAGCTCTAATTCACGACAAGTATTCAGTGGTGTCATCCACTCGATTATTGGTAAGCATGTCTTCAACATGTCTTTGAAACACAAAACACATATTAAGAGTTGCCGCTTCTTTTCTCTTTTTTCAGCATTAATAAAGACACAACTCTCTATTAAATGAAACATGTAGAAACGGAAAATTTTATTCGATATCGTCGCGTTTCGTTTCAGACAAGTTTTACTGTATTAATAATTTTCAAGGAAAATAATTCGAAGAACACGATGCATGTGGAAAATTAGTATTGGTGTCTCAAACAATCCGTAATATTTATGGCATATCTATTATTTTCCTAAAAATACTGTAAACTTTAAGAAATGTAACTTACTTTAGAATGAATAAAACAAAAATATAAAACTAATACTATAGCCTATAAGTATAGTTTTCGTTTTGCACGAGAAGATACTAAGGTAAATAGATATTAAGGTGACTTGATACTATGGTAAATTGTTAGTGATTTATTTTATATTACAAGATAATTGTAAATAAAATTTGTTTCGAAATTTCGTATATTATAATCATTGATGTGATCGAATTTAAAAATATATATACGACTTTTTCGTTAATATCAGTGTTGGAAATTTCATTAACGCATTCTAACAGTTTGGCATGTTATCTGTACAATCAATATCTAACATATAATAGCTTATATGGAGTTTTGCAATTTGAGTTTTTCATAACTACGTAAGTCTGGAAATTTTACATTTATTAACATTTATTTAATATTTTTGGTATGTTTAGGAAAATAGATTTATTTACGAAGAATTCAGATTATTATTCAGAATTTATATACTGACCTTTCAATAGTATTCATATGCACGATTTTAATGCAGTTTATAAATAGTTGGTTATTGCTTTTGTGAACTGTTCTAAACCAAAGAAACTTTCCTGCTACAATTTCTCCAATATCTTCTGACGTAGTAACTAAGTACTGATAGTTTCTTCCGTGTTCAAAAATTTCCGATCTGTAACATCATAAACTCAATCAGATTAAATATTAAAAAAAATTATTTTAACTATATACTATTGTAGTATTACAAATTCATAGTTTTAAGAGCAAACGATCTCCAAATGGTTGTAAAGTGTCAGTTTTACGGGAAGCACTTTCTAAATCTAGGACTACGAATGAAGTTCATATTCACTTGTTCAACCACAAAATCAGAAATATCTAGTCTCAATAAAATGTTGGTGCCAAGAATAAATTATAGGTCTATTTAAAGGATCGTTACGATACTGGATGCCAAAATTACATTACACTGTTGCCACGGATTTTGTTTCCTCCCACAAAAACAAACAGTGAACGCGTTCCGTAACAGTGAAAGTAGCCATTTTTAAATAATGCCTCACTATGACGGAATTTTTTGCTATGACACTACGTAAGTCAAACTCAGTAACGCGTTATAGCTTCATAGGGCTCAGGCAAATTTGAATTAGAGGCTCAATGTATAGTGTTGACTTTAGGCATTTATTTTCAGGGAATTTTTGGGGGAAATATTTTTTTATAAAAAGATTGATTTGAGGTCCTTGTTAGTGAGGACCCCAGGCAATTTTCCTTTTTGCCCATAGGATAACACGCTACTGGACAAATTTGATCAGCCGATTGCAGAGACAACGTTTAGAGACCGACGGCTGTTTACAGATCGGGTAGACCGCTGTACAGAAAAATTTAATTGCAGAGATGACGTTTCTCGCCTGCCACAATGTAGACAGCGATTAGAAACAAGTTATTTGACCTATTTTCTAGACTCACTCGACAGCGGGTTTAGAGGGCTTTTCAATTCCAGTGCTAGCTTTGTTCGTGGAAAAGTTTAGATAAAAAACAGATATCGTTCCATTGATAAATGTTGTAAACGGTACGAATCGACAAAATTATTCATTAATTAATTGCTTGGAGCAAAAGCTTTTAAAGTTTAAAGTAAAATACTTTAAATTTCTTTTAAATGTTCCAATTTCAATATTCAAATGGGTGAAGACTTAAAACTTCTATTAATTTAAATCAGATGCATTTATTTACAATTCGAGTATCGTGTCGGTTATAAAACGTTAATGCATTTCGGAGTCATTGTACTATTAAACAAACGAGACAATTTTGATAATTACAGAAATCTGTTTATAGATATAAAAAAAATGTAATATTAATAATAAAATATTTGAAATTATTCATTTCGACAGTAATAAGATAGCGAAATAATTCCTTAAAAATCTATTCCGAAGATGAATTTCGAATTCTATATAAATTTTCGGTATAAATATGGATTTGTTCGTATTTTAAACCGTATTGGCGACGAAATTAAATATCTAAATGGAAAAGGATTGTCATTAATTGCCGAACAATGGTTTTGATGGCCTTAAGATTTTATTTCTGGAAGCTTTCCGAATATAGCTGGTGACCATTTCTGACGTCACAAACAAATAACCCGATTGGCCGAATGAGTCCTAAAACAGGGGAGTAATAGCGAAGAAAGTAAGAGCCAATGTTTTGCCGAAGTTCGTTTAGAGGGCGTTCAGAAATAGACGATCGTCGTCTTTGCAACACATTTTTAAACCGCGGTTCAGCCAGCCAACGTCTGTAGGCAGTTCTGTTGATAAACGTCGTTTAATGTAAACTCTGTCTCTGCAATCGGCCGGATGTGTTTTAATAGAAATTAACGCTTCAATCGATTCTTAAATTTTTTGATTAAAATTCGATATGCTTTCAAGTCCCTTTTGAATTTTTTTAATCAATTTAATTAGGATTTTATAACTTTATTTAAAATCTTCACATGGTTCAATTATTAATTCCAAATCACCAAGTGGTCACTTGGCTTTTTTTAACTCTTCGTCCTGTGGGCACTAAGAGGGCATTTTTAGCAGGCCCATTATGGGTATGGCCAGGCCCACAATGGGGAGGCAGGGTGATGAGGACGGAGCCCGACATATCCGGTCACTTGGGTAGAGATAAAACTTTATGAAAATGAATATATTCTGGAGTTTGCTGGTGCATTACGCAATTTTGTCGTAGCTGTGAAATCTGTCAATAAAATGCATGTAAATCTGATAGTTTCATAAATATATACCGGTACATCAAATCCAAGAAAAGTCTGGCATCGTATAGATTTATGTAGTCTTCTAAAACATCCTGAAAAGTTTTTGCTATCTGCATTACGACCGATTATTTTTCGAAATACTGTTTATGACAAAGTAAAAACGTATAAAGTATAGTCTCGCTAATCCGAACCTGTGCTAATCTATTACTCCAAAACACCTTTGTTCACTTTTTTCACTAAATATTTCAGTCAAAAATAAATAAATAAAAAATAAAAGAATCATAGAATGACGCGAAAATGTTGTAAGATTAATATGGGCTTATACTACGCATTTTAACATAAATACAGTAGACCCCCCCTATAAAACCGGTTCCTATAATTACGTGAAACGTCATCGGGCAGCCGAACTATTTTCCGCCGTCAAGCGCTACACTACGGAGAGATTACTATCGTCTGTACAGTATTATATATAAATTATATATAAATTAGATACTGTACATATAATTATAATTAATTATATATAAATTAGGTACTGTATATATAATTATATATTAACTTAATTTATTGTAACTTTATAATAATTATATATATTTTTTCCGCCGCGTAGCGCCACGCTACGGAGATTTTACGCTAACTATCGTCTGTACAGTATGTAAATTAGGTACCGTAAGTCTAATACAGTACTGTAATTTTATACATTTCTTGTGAAAGAAACATTTCTTATTCATCGGCGATTAAAATTATTTATATTAATGATGTCTCCAAAGTTCAACGAAGTTTTCGCAGAAAAATAAGTTATTAGAAATCGGCCGCTGTTTGCTGAGCTGTTCCGCGACGAAAACAAGCTTGAACAATGGCGATGTCGAATGGTGCACACTCGGTAAGTAATCCTACAATTTTTTATTTATAGCGTAGTTTATACGGATTATTTCCAAAAAAATATACGTATTTTGGAAATGTTGAGAAGAATTAGTCTAGAATCAATTAATTTTATGGAAGAAAACCTTTCAAACAGCCGTAGTCCGTAAACTTGACACGTGTCGGGCTGTGATTGGAACGACTCGTAAGAAATCGGATTCCTAAAGAATGGAACGTATCTATGATCTTATAGGGGGTCGACTGTATACTTGTACGAGTATATTTATGTTAAAATGTACCAAATACAGTAAAATCTTTAAAAATAAAGTTAAAAAAAGCATCTTAAATTCGGAATATATGCGTTTGCTTGTAGTTTTTTTTTTTACTTGTTTTCTTTATATAGCCTATGTGAAGTCCAATATCGCTGCAACCCAATATCGGGGAAGATAATTCCAGGAACGGCCGGTTTGACCAGAAGGAGAAGTATTCCTAAAGGACGAGTGAATGTTGCTGCAGACAACAGTTCGATTGGAAAGTCCCGAAAAGAGAGACACAAATGGAACCTCCGTATGAAATTTTCGTTCGGAGCTGGTTGCGAGAAATTTGGGCAAGTAATTGCGAAGAAGAACTGATTTTCAAAAAAGAGCGAACGAGAGGAACAAAGAATAGAAGGAGATTTTGTGGAAAAAGAACCTTGTAGCCTTTTAACTTTGTGAAAAGTGTCGCGACAGGAACATAAAAAAGTAATCTCGCGTCCTTGAGACAAGAATTTTTCTTCGTGTCTCAAGGACTCTCTTTGATCACTAATCCCGATTGGTCCACAACATTTATAATTTTATTTCCAAAAATGTTCTGTAAACCTTAGAATAGAAAGTGCCGTTCGACTCCAGTTAGAAATTTAGTTAAACTTTTTACCTCTTATTCTAAACTACATTATCCTAAACTTCGCAGCATTCAACATGTTTCCTGTGCTTTTAAATCCACGGTTTATTTCTAACAGCATCTTTATTTCAAGGGGTTTATTTGAATCAAAAGAATTAATCAAAGAAATGCAATAATTTTATATTTAGGAAGATTTTAATTCTATATTTAACAGTAAACAAAAATACAATGTTCTAAATAATTTACTTTTGTTTATACCAGGGCTGTGGAGTTGGAGTCGGAGTCGGAGTTGGAGTCGGTAGATTTTTACGCGACTCCACAGCCCTGGTTTATACAGTATTAAGTTTTCTTGTATAGCACTAACTTTACCCATAATCCTGTTATGTGGTTATTTAATAACAAAATTTAATTCATTGCATGCATGTAATACACTTATTTATAAATTGATTAAAATTATATTTAGTTTTATGTAAAAGAAATATTACCTTTGACTAAGTACGAAGAGATGTTCAAGTCTAGAACCAATTATATTCAAAAGCATCCTTCCATGATTTTTATGACTCGATAAGTTTGAAATATTTCGTAATTCAATTTCAATATGATAATGAAATACTAAAATATTGTTTATAAAAATTATTTTACGTTATTTTTTATTAATATTTTTTAAAAAGATTCTATACTTACAACAAAAGTTAAAGTTTGAAGTAGTATTGAGATAAAATATGGCCGGACTGTTACGTCTGGACCAATTCGATTTCGATGCTTGGTAGCCCATTATGGCGCATTTGGAGCCATCGGGTCCACATTGGTGACATTTCCCTTCTACAAAGCTTTTATAATCAGAACAGGAATGTCCAACAGGAAGACAAGATGGATAAAGCATAGAGTTAAAGTAAAGCAGAAAAGCTCGGGCATGGCTACATTTATCGAGAATCACTTTACAAATAAAAATGCGCAGATTAATTAAATAATTTATTATTATTTTTAAATTTAATTACAAATTTAGAAAATTTATATTCAACTAACGTGATAATATATCTCCATTTCTTAAAAGTTTGTCCGTACATCCTGGTTGTATTCTTTGATCATTTGGACGAAAATTTACATCTCCAATTGCTGCGTCAATTCCAAAACCTAAAAAATAATATTTTTAATTATAATGAGGATTTTAAATGCTGATGTAAACTATTGTAGAAAATAACTGATAATAAAAATTTAGAATTTAGCTTATTTTTTCAAGTATTATTTCAAACTTTGCAGATGTATGTCAATCTATTAGTTATTAGATTACATTCTATTTAAAAAAACTTTACGTTACTTTTAGTATTTATATAGACTATAAATAATTCCTTTTACATCACAACCTTATTATCTTTATTAATGTTAACTATTATTTATTATTGGAAAATTCGATATATGTATATCCGTCAGATGAAAATTATGATTTGTCGAAAGATTTATCTCTGATACAATATTAAAGATCTGCATAAAGATAAGAAGATTTTTATGGAACAAATAGTAAATTCTTTTATCCTTTTAAGTCGATAGTCATGGGTTTACTAATAATCTTCATAGATCTTTCTTTCCTTTTGATGACAGGATAAGTTTGCTCTTCGTATTTAAATATTTTTATTGACCTCACCTCACCAAAAATTATTCTAATACTCTTATATTTATGCAGATTAGTATTTTAATTGATTGATTATTTGAAAACCTTTTATATAAATGTATGTGTAAATCTTTATAAATCGTTATTTTCTTATATTATTCAGTTTTTTCTACAAGCTCGATTGTAAATATTTCGTTGTTTACTTTTACAATAAAATTTTATCGTGGTTTTTGACTGAAAGTTAAATATATAGTATATCCATATTTTTATATGGATATACTATATATTTATTTTATATACTATATATACTTTATAGTATGATCCATATTTTAGCAAATAGATCTTATATTTACATTTAAATGATATAAATTTATCTTGAATTTATTCTAGTTTTTTACTTCGTTTTCAAAAATTATTAGTTGATTTAAAATAGTATTAATATTTAAATGATTAATTAAGATAATCAACTAATAATTAAGATATTTAAGACAACATTAATAATTTATTATATTGTATTATATTCATATATATAAATTGGCTTAAGTTTTTATTTTTCTGTAAATTTAATAAATTTATATGCAATTTATTACATAAACTATTCAAGCTTAACAGTTATTTATCATAGGAATTTTAATTAAATTATAAAGTAACTATATTTTGACTCAAATCATAGATTTATTACTGAATTTTATTATGGAATAAAAAGTAATTTACCGCCAATGTTTCCCAGTATTACATCAACAAATTTTGCATCGGTATAATGTAATCTGTGTTCGTTTCGGAAACCAATGAAACACGGACCGGCGGGATCAAGACCTAAATTATTTTTAATAAAAGAAATTTTTAAAATTTAAAAAATAATAAAGTGTTGAAAATTTTGAAGACATTATTGCTACGAAAGTTCATACCTGTGATTCTTCCAATAGTATCGTTGCCAATTCCTTTCCCAACAAAACCAACTAAATGAGCTCCAAGACTCATTCCAATCATATGTATGGATGAAAAATCTATTCCTGTTACGTTCTAAAAGATATTAAAAAGTTTATTTTGTAATTTATTTCACACTTTATCATCATCATTCAAATTTATTAATCCTTTAAAATCTAACACATTCATGCGACAGTAATTTGACTACACGTTACTTTATCTAATTTGGAAGTAAAATTATCATTCCACAAATTATGACTCTTTTTTCAGACAAATCAAACAGATAATTATCATAAGTAAATTAATTTAAATAAGTAATTTACCTGTAACGTGAAAAGGAATTGAGTAACCTGTTTAGCAGCTGCATAAGAATGCTGTATCGATTGGGGTATATAAAACCTTTTCGATCCAACTTCCCAGTCAATGATAAATAAATTGCAATCCATTGTCATCAAATAAATATTTTTAATCATCTATTAAAAATGTTTATAAATGAATTTTTCTTCTAATTTTTCCTACTCGAAATTATAAAAGAATATTTATTTACGTGACAAGCTTCACTTTCCGGCGATGTACTCCATCCATCACTAAAGATTATCGTTGGTAAATCAGGATTAAAATTTGATTGTAGTATGCTCTCGGAATCATTCAAAATTTGGTAAGAGTTTATATTTTTTCTAGTATAAAGTCTCATCTGTACGTAAGAAGCGTCAATCGTTTCTGCGACAGTAAATAGTAATTCTTCTATGAATATGTCACAACGAAATTGTCCTTCTGTTGCTAAAAAGTTAAAACTAAATTAAGAAAATTATTTTTAATTAAATTTATTCGTTAGAAATGTTTAAATATTTTTTATTATGAAAAGCATAATATAGTTTTAATTTAGGCTAAATATTTTTAAATTAGTTTGTTTACAGACATATAAAACTGTTATAACGTCATTGTAGTAACTTGAATTAATAATTTCAAAACTTATAATTTAATTTGTAATGGATAAAAATCGACTTTTAACAAAAAAATTTTGATTTTATGAAGAATAATAGCGATGGCCTTCAGCACTTTGATATTCAATCTTAGAAAATTTATATTCAACTAACGTGATAATATATCTCCATTTCTTAAAAGTTTGTCCGTACATCCTGGTTGTATTCTTTGATCATTTGGACGAAAATTTACATCTCCAATTGCTGCGTCAATTCCAAAACCTAAAAAATAATATTTTTAATTATAATGAGGATTTTAAATGCTGATGTAAACTATTGTAGAAAATAACTGATAATAAAAATTTAGAATTTAGCTTATTTTTTCAAGTATTATTTCAAACTTTGCAGATGTATGTCAATCTATTAGTTATTAGATTACATTCTATTTAAAAAAAACTTTACGTTACTTTTAGTATTTATATAGACTATAAATAATTCCTTTTACATCACAACCTTATTATCTTTATTAATGTTAACTATTATTTATTATTGGAAAATTCGATATATGTATATCCGTCAGATGAAAATTATGATTTGTCGAAAGATTTATCTCTGATACAATATTCAAGATCTGCATAAAGATAAGAAGATTTTTATGGAACAAATAGTAAATTCTTTTATCCTTTTAAGTCGATAGTCATGGGTTTACTAATAATCTTCATAGATCTTTCTTTCCTTTTGATGACAGGATAAGTTTGCTCTTCGTATTTAAATATTTTTATTGACCTCACCTCACCAAAAATTATTCTAATACTCTTATATTTATGCAGATTAGTATTTTAATTGATTGATTATTTGAAAACCTTTTATATAAATGTATGTGTAAATCTTTATAAATCGTTATTTTCTTATATTATTCAGTTTTTTCTACAAGCTCGATTGTAAATATTTCGTTGTTTACTTTTACAATAAAATTTTATCGTGGTTTTTGACTGAAAGTTAAATATATAGTATATCCATATTTTTATATGGATATACTATATATTTATTTTATATACTATATATACTTTATAGTATGATCCATATTTTAGCAAATAGATCTTATATTTACATTTAAATGATATAAATTTATCTTGAATTTATTCTAGTTTTTTACTTCGTTTTCAAAAATTATTAGTTGATTTAAAATAGTATTAATATTTAAATGATTAATTAAGATAATCAACTAATAATTAAGATATTTAANTATTCAAAAAGCTTTTAATTTATATTTTTAATATGTAAATACATTATGAACGCAAATGAAGAGTTTGGCAAGTACACAAAAAATCCAGAAGCAAAATACTTTTAATATTTATAAGGGCAATAGATAGACATTACAAACAAGCATTACTTACAGCAATGTTTGTTTGTAATTGAATGTCGCAATATTATATAATTTATGTAAGAGTTCTTTTCTTTTAAAACAAGAGTCGTACAAATAGAGGGAAACCAAAAGCATTTATGACCAGCTACAAGTATAAGACTACTACATAAGCTGGCCATAAATGCGTTTCGGTATTACGCTATAAAATAAAATTGATAGCTGCAAGGCATGATTTGTTCAATAGATTTATTCCAGAGAAGAAATTGAAATTAATTCAAATCGTTTGATCAAAATGACACGTCATTGGTTATTTTTGTTCAAATAACCGAAGACGTCTGCATAATACTTTTTTTTTTATCTTGTTCACACTTGAGTGAGGCAATGAGTCATAAAACTGTAGGAAAATTTGTACCGTATTTGTGTCTTTTAACTTTTTAAATAAATTCTTGACAAACTAGGGAAGGTTGTTGAGAAGGGGAGCTGGAAATTTTGCTCGGGCCCAGAGAAAAGTTAAGGGGTCCGTAGTAGTTCCCTCCCCTAAAAATCATTGTTATTTTTACCAAAACAAAACTTTAAGACTACTTTTTATTAGTAAAGAAACATTCTACGTATTTCACTTGTTTAAAATAATAAATAATGGCTAAAGAGACCTCTAAAAGGCAAAAGACGACCGCTGTTCCTCCACCTATACAAGCTACCGACGGTCCTACTTCAAACTACGTTACTACATAATGTACAAATGCAAATAACCTAATACCTTACTATTATCAGAAGTCATATAATCCAATATATTTTAAATTTTCTAAATTTTTATAGCCATAATTTAACTTCTGTTTTAATATTTTACTTCTAAATTTTTGTTTGAGTTCATATAGAAAATTCAGAGTATTAAAATAACAATCAGCTTTTTACAAAAAAATTTCTTACAAAAGGATTTTTATAAAATGAAAATACTTTTATAAAAATGTATAAAGTTGTATAATGAAAATGAGAATAAACAATTCCTTATGAGTTATAGGTGTTGTTTGAATGTGTTAATCACCTCTAAAGTCGGAACAGATTGAATATTTTTCCTCTTGTTTTTTGAAAAATTTCTGAATTTAAATTTCCAACCCCATTGGATATTTTAATTGTTATTAATTTTTAGAATAAATAATATGTTTGATGTTTTCTAATTGTGTTTTATGTTTTAAAATATTTTAAATAAATATATATTCATGAATAGACTTATGAATATCACAAGAAAAAAGTCGATATTAAACATACCAAGTTGTAATTATATTGTATAACAATAAATATTTCACCTTGCATAATATAACTTATCACGAATTCTATCTATTGCGGAATACTCATTAGGAAATTCCGAGTTGTATTTCGATGAAGACTTTCTTTTTTTTTTTTTTTCATTTCTCAATAACAATAAAGTCATTTTTCATTTAGCATTCATTATCAAGGTTTTTGTAGTCATACATGTTCCATTATAGACGGGAAAACCGTATGCATATTAAACCTTCTATTTATATAGGCTATACGTAAATAATTTTATTCGTTTAATTTAGAATTAATAATTAATATAGAATTTTAATAAATAAATAAATATATATATATGTAGGGGCGAAGGCCCTAAAGAGGAGTCTAAACCGATCCGAGGGTAAGAGAAACAAACTGTGCGAGGTTAGAAGAGAAAAGACCGGAAAAAGGAGTGCGGAGACAGAAGCAGAATAGAACAGTTGTGGGTGTGAAAGTGGACATTATTTTGTTCTTTCAAACCTTATATATACTGTATATATATATAAAGGCCTATATATAAGCAATTAAGGCATCGTTTTATGAAGTGATTAGGTTCCCAACCCAGAGTTCATAAAGTGAATCGTTTATAAATTGAAGCAAAGTTGTAGAACAGTAGGCCTATATTGAAATGAAATTAAAATACGGTATTTAAAATAAAACAAGACGCAAGTTATAAAGTAAAAACAAATATATATATATATATATATATATATATATATTTGTTTATAATTTATGCCACTGTATAAACAAGTTGAAAACAGTGGCACAATGAAGAACCGTTAATGAGATGGACTTGGTTGATTGTCATTCAGGCTTCAAAATTTTTCTGGCTAACAAGTAATAACTGCAGTAAGGGCGTCTGTTGGGACTTTTTCTTCTCTCCTCCAATGTATTACAATATGATTTGAGAGCATTTGTTACAGCTCTTTGGTTAGAAGAGCTGCCCTTTCAGTTAGGATAATCATCCCAATCAGGAGATTCACAGGTATTTTGTATCTGTATTAAAGCTTCTTTAAGTGTCTTTGTGGAGAGAGTCCTAAGTGGTACTATTTCCTGGACTTCTTTGTTTCTTCTCTGTTTTCTTTAGTACGTTGTGCTGCCAGCTCTTTTACTCAAACGTAAAACGAGACCTTACTGTAGGCTTATTTGTAGACATTTTAAATTTTACGGTTCGTTTATAATTTAATTTAAGAGTAAATATTAATAATTTTTATTATAATGAACATCATTTAAGTGTGTTTCAATGTAAAAACTAATTTTAATATGAATTATAAATAAACATCAAATTTTTATGCAAATTTTTTAAACTCAAAATATGCATGCAAACATGTTAACATGTAAAAATATATATATGTCTGGTAATAATAATACAAAAAATTTACGATAAAAAACTCTTTATTTTTTATTTATTTTTGTTAAAAAATAAAGATTACAAAGATTATTATTTATTTATATCTTAATTAACCTTTATGGTTTAAACCAGCATTTTATGGATTTTTTATTCATAATTTTGATCTACAAAATACTCATGGTAAACTAGCATTTTTTGTAAGTTTTCAGTGTTAGTCTGTACCCTCGATCGCCTAACATCTTTCTCGCGTTGAATGAACGCTCCACGTCGCACGTAACGATTGTTGAAGAGGAGCGCCCGTACATTGGGGCACTTGGAGCACGTACCACCCCTTTTCGTCTCGATTGCCCAATTCCTACTCCCCAAGGGGACCCCAAACTACAGAAAATTTGTGACTTATAGCCTATTTTGTAAATATAAAATAAATTAATGAAGGATATTCGTCCATGATCCTTGCAACTTCGCCCTATGTTGACCAAACAGCGAAGTAAAATATTTAAAGAAATTTAGATATTTTAAAACTTAATATAAATGTAATATAATATAATATTGTCTTTTTTTTATTAAACATAAAAATATGAAAGTTCAAACATAAAGTAAAAAACAAGTAATTTTAATAACGAATATAGGCCTATTTATTCATCGCGTAAATTTCTTGTAGCTTAAATAGTAGATAAATGTTATATATTTACTGTTATTTATTTCTAGGCTGATTAGTGAAGTAGTGTGTGAAAAATATTACGAACCAACATTAAGCGCAAGTTTTTACTTGTAAATTATGATTAATATCTCTTGTCTGACACAATAAGGAAACGATTATATTTTAAAAAGGGAAAAAGTATTAGTAATAGATAATAAATTCTTGACTGAAAATTATTTTACAAATTTATTTTTAAAAATAATAATTCGAACAATTCAGTGATATTACAGGACTAACAAAATTAATATTGTTTTCTCTAGACATTTATA